TACATACATACATACATACATACATACATACATACATACATACATACATACACACACACACACATACATACATACATACATACACACACATACATACATACACATAATGTATATGCATATTATGGTATATAACTACATTGTTACTATATTTTTATTATGCAGACTTACCTTTAAAGAGGGTAACGAGATGAAGTACATTTCACACAGAATTCCAGGAATATCCTACAAATGTGGGAATAACAAGTGTTAACTTTTCAGGCGAAATGCATCCATGGAGCAGAATGATTTAATTAAGCTGAAGAACATCTGGCCTTCAAAGAGAGAATGACCTCACCTTCTAAACCTCCATTTCAGAGAAGCATGTTTTGTACGAAAAAAATATATCAGTCCAAATATTTTAAGCGCCCCGCTTTTTTTTAACATGGTTATGACCATAAAGGGTCATACGGCGAAGATTCGTGATGAGTCTCGTTGGCTCATTCTTAAATGAGCCATTCTTATGTTCTTCTTTATGTTCCATAAGCCATTCTTATGAGCTATTCCTCCATGAGCTGTTCTTATGTCATTCCGATGTTCTTCTTCTTCTTGGCTCATTCTTAAATTCTATGGTTATTGGAATCACAGAATTGTAGGGGCTGAAGGGACCTTGGAGGTCTTCTAGTCCAACCTGCAGGAGACCTTATTCCATTCAGGACCAATGGTTTTTCCAATCTTTTCTTAAAAATGATGGAGCACCCACCATTTCTGGAGGCAAGCTCTTCCATGGATTAATTGTTCTGTCAAGAAGTTTCTCCTTAATTCCAGGAGGAAACCAGATTCTGTCTCTGAATTTAACGATAAAAAGACCTCCCTCCATTCAGATTAGAAGTAGATGATTAGAACATCTCTTACCTTCTTCCAGTTCGGCAGTGACGTGTACAGTAAAAGCTTATCCAGGTGGCTGGATTCCAGGCACAATTTCCAGTGTAAAGAAGCTAAGAACATCGAGACAAAAATAGGCTCTTGACTGCATCAAGTAAAATTCTGCACGTCTCTGTGAAAATTAGCAATACCCTTCGACCGTAGCTCTATTTGCAGGAGAGTTCCACTGAATTCAGTGGAGTTGAATCACTAAATAGGATTTAGGATTTCAGTGTTATTATAAGAAGAGAGGTTAAAGGTAAAAGTTCCCCTTGCACATATGTGCTAGTCGTTCCTGACTCTAGGGGGCAGTGCTCATCTTTGTTTCAAAACCGAAGAGCCAGCACTGTCCGAAGACGCCTCCGTGGTCATGTGGCCGGCATGACTCAACGCCAAAGGCGCACGGAACGCTGTTGCCTTCCCACCAAAGGTGGTGCCTATTTTTCTACTTGCAATTTTACATGCTTTCAAACTGCTAGGTTGGCAGAAGCTGGGACAAGGAACGGGAGCTCATTCCGTTACGTGGCGCTAGGGATCCGAACCGCCAAACTGCTGACCTTTCTTACTGTTATAGCCCAGCAACAGCCTGTGCTGCGTTCTAATTGGTCGGGCGAAGCACAGCCTGTGATTGGTGGTTGTAATG